TCTCTGTCCTGTGCTCTGCCCTTGGCCTAGGGCCTGCAGAGTTCCCCTCCCTGGGGCTTGTGGTTTTCAGTTCTGGTATCCCTGGCTCAGAGGTTGTACACCCTTTGGGCTTGTGGTTTTTAATCCTAAGAATTCGTCTCCATTAGGAGAGTTTGTCTCTGTGAGCATCTCTTGTTACTGAGCTCTGCTAACCTATTAATAGGCCTAGGTGTTCGTTATCCAGTTAACTGCCGAGATGTGCGCTGCACATTAGCTCATCAAGTATAGGCTGGGCCTGCACTCCTCTTAAAGCAACCACGTGATAGTCCCTTCTCCCTCCACCTCCCTTACGGAACTGGCCTATACCCAAAAGATAGGGTCGCCACTGTATAAGACTTGGTCATATTCTTGAGCTTTGGGGAACTTTCTGTTCAGCACCCAGTAATACTATTAAATCTTTGGCAATGATCCACCCCTCTTCAATAAAATATGATATTTCCAGAACTTGGGTTCCACTGTGTTGGAAGTGCTTCATACAGTGAATTATATGCCTCAATTCCTGGATTGTCATAATTCACCACATCTTGTGTTCCCTGAATGTTTTGTTCCCAAGCTACTTCCATTGTGGTTAACGCAGAATTTTCACCACAGCTGAACTGACTTGAGGCAGCAGGTTGGTCTTTGGGGGAGGACTGTCCCTTGCAGTCTCAGGCATAGCCCTTAGAATTAAAAATGTCTCTGTCCAAGTCCCACTTCCTTTTGAGGCTTTTCTAATACTAAGGGCTGGGCTCTTTTCTACGGCATTAACAATCCATCCAACAGCACTCAGTTCTGAACTTCCTAAACCAGCAGTCCCATTTGAACAGTTTTCTGTAACTCTCTCTTGTTCCTCGTACCTTGGAGTAGACCTGTTTTTGTAATTTGGCCTTGCAATCTGTGATCCCAAGTTTTTAGATCTATCACAGGGCTGTTCTTAGCTTTTGCAAACTCATACGCCTCCATGCTCTATCTTATGTGGTCTCACCTCACATGATTCCAATCTTTATCTTTAGCCAAGTGGGACATTGTGACGGTGCGTTGGGGGTTCCCCGTCTCCTGCACCCCGAAATGGCACAAACAGACTGCACCCGCCGGTGGAATAGAGGAAGTTTATTGCCTCTCCAGGTTACAGCACAGCACAGATGTAATCTGGTCACAGAGCTGGGCTAGGATGCCTCAGGCCCCCTTGAGATGGGGGAGACTGGGCTCCTAAACTCCAGCCCCTTTCCCTAGGCTGTCTCCTCCATGCTCACAGACAGCAACTAACCAACTCTCTTCCAGCCCTGCCCCCCAGCCAGGGCAGCATTCCACCTTCCTTTGTTCCTCTCCATGGGGGGTGTCTGGCCATTCTGGTTTGCATAGTGACTCATCCTGTTTTGCTGGGTCGTGGTACCCACGGCAGCCAGTGGGGGGTACCCCCGAGGCCCCTACTACGTCACAGACATGAACCCCAGAGGAACCTGAAGCAGTTTCTGAATGTTAGTCAGTTTCTTCTGCAGCAGCAAAAACAGCTGAACCCCAGTCTCATTTTCAGTTTTGAGGAAGCCAGCCCTTGCTCCCACTTTACTGCTTACACCATGATCCTTTCATGTGATAAACCTGTCTCTTCCAGCTCCCTCCACTACAGAGCCATCTACATCTGAAGTTCCAGGATTTCACAGTTTCCTATCAACAGTTGCCTGTCCTCTCCAGCTTATTCTTGTCCATTAATGTGGAGCTCTGCAGTGTGTAGCTGAGAGAGCTATTGCCATTATTGAAGTGTCTATTGTACATGAGATATTAGTGTTTGTACTGTGGGATACCCAATTCTTGTTCAAGCAGTTGACAGTTTCTCTTCGAATGCCTTTCTGCAGGTCTGACGTGTCAGTCAGGCCCCTTGTATGAGCACAAGCCACCATTTCTGTGCTCGCCAGCTTATTACATGATTCTTTCTGGTCTTCACTTCCTGCACTCCTACATAATCCAGATGCTTCTAACAGGACGTATTGGGTGACTGCCTCATGGGCCACTTTCAGGTGTTCACGAGTCAGTCTCCAGCTCCTTATCCAGCTTGGTTACCTGCTCTTCCAAGGTTCATTTGACATTCTCTAACTTTAGCTTCTGTTTCAGAACTTCCTATATTGCTTTGCTCAAGCAGAGGGTGTCTCTCTCTTGTTCCCATATTTTTATTTCAATGTGTTTGCACTTGTCTCCATAGTTGTTTGCCTCTCCAATGCAAGCAGATATTGCAGTTCTTTCTGTCTGTCTTTTATACTGAAGACCCCTTTTTCAAGGTTTCGGTTTAGCTTGGCATCTTCACATGTCTGTTCCTTTTATTACATCTTCTCATCCTCAATCAACCATGTCTACACCCTTAACAATGCAGCAGTGGTGCAGCAGTATTAATATAGCTGCGCTACTGCAGCATGCATGGTGAAGACACTCTGTGCCAACAGGACAGCCATTGGCATAAAAAAGCCACTCCCACAAGCTTCAGGATCAATATAGGTGTGAGAAGCTCTCCTGCCAACATAGCCCTGTGAGCACTAGCACTTATACTGACATTATGCACATCCCTCAGGGTGCATCTAGACTGCTCAAGCTTCTTTCGAAAGAAGCTTTTTTGGAAGAGATCTTCTGAAAAAACTTCTTCCAAAAGAGAGTGTCCACACTGCAAAGCACGCATTGAAAAAGCGATCTGCTTTTTCAAAAGATAGCGTCCACACTGAAAGGATGCTAACTCCCATAAGCCGTGATTACTATGGATGGAATGGCCATCAGGGCTCCTGTGCTTTTTCCTCTTTCCTTTTCTTTCGGAAGAACTCCCTCTTCCCCGTCCACACACACCTTTTTCTGAAAGAGCTCTTTCGGAAAAGGCATTCTTCCTCATAGAATGAGATTTACCAATATCAGAAAAACCCCTGCGTTCTTTTGATTTTCTTTCAAAAGAACGCAATAGCAGTGTGGACATAAGTGAAGTTTTTTTTGGAAAACAGCCATTTTTCAAAAAAAACCCTGCAGTCTAGACACACCCTCTGTGACATAAAATGTGTTTAGTGTAGACATAGTCTCAGTGTCTGGCACACCTCTTTCTGCAGTAACCCCTGAGTCATCTGTAGTTGGGCTCCTGGGCCTGCCAATTTATCAGCCGCTTAAGTGGCTTGCTGTCCAATGGTTTTGACTGTCCTGAGCCGCTTTTCCACCTGACTTGTGGTTCCATAATTTCAGTCGGGTTGTGAAAAGTGTTTCTTTTGTTAGATAGAGACATCTTAATCTCTTAAAGGGATGAGCAACTCTGATACTCCCATTGAAATCAGCAGAGTTTAAACACATCTTACAGTTAAGCATGCATGCTTATGTGCTCTGTTGTACTGAGGCCTTCATGCACAGTCCTAAGTGGGGGGTCAGCATTTTACCTGCACCATTCCAGGAAGATCCCTGAGAGGCATTGAGGCTGAGGTTCCTTTGAGATTCTTGTGGAACGGGATTTCACATGCATTTTACTTTTGTTAGCAGTGCGCAGCCAGTACAGCTATGATCACGTGAGTTAGGGTCTGTTCAGGGTCAGGGCAGCACCCATGGAAGTATTAGTGGAGTTCCCAGTGAAGGATCTTTATCTTTTGTGTTTCCAGAACTAGAGGGTGAAGTCCTGGCTCCACTGAAATGGCAAAACTCCAGAGGGGGTTGGATTTCACCAATAGAGAACACATTTTGATTCTGGTATCCCAGACTGGGTTTACTAGGCAGGCATTGTCTTTTTACCTGTCAGATGAACATATATGGTCTTATAATTATTCAAAGACAATTAATAGAGAATTCCACAATGCCATTTTACAAATTCTTTTTTTTTTTCATTGAAACAACATTTTAAAGAAAACTAATACAATATTATTCTTGATTCATAATTATTTATATTAAGATATTAGCACAGAAGTTGGCACTTAATATTTTATAGACTATGTATTATGTTAATTAGTCACTAGAATGTTAATACCAGGAATAAGCCCAGCCTAGTTAACAGAGCCTTGCCTACCGTACACTCCTTGGGCTAGATCCCAAGTCCGTTGGAGTCAAAGATAAACCATGTTTACAGAGTAAAGATATGATTTGGTTGAACTCTGCATTGTTAGCTGTGCCTGATGGTGCTTATGAGATAAGGTTAGAAAAACTGATGGACTGTGGAGCTGAATAACAATTTAGAACAGTGCTTGTGACAATTCACTGATCTCATTGACTTTCATGGGCCTGCTGAAGTGCTTAAAGTTAAGTGTGTACTTAAGTGCTTGCTGGGTAGGGACTAGAGCATTTTCTAAAATAACTTCAGGATGATGATACTTGTGACTGAACTTTGTTTTTGTCATTGACTGTATAAATCAAAGTTTGCCTTAAAAATAAAATCTCAGTGCCAAACTCAGCCAAGGTACATCTACACTTGCTCCCTATCAGATATGGATGCAAATGTAGTATACTAAAATTGCTAACGAAGCGCAAATAACGCTGCTACACGGAGTGTTTTATTTCGCAATAACGTGATTTGAAAATGGAGCCCAGACGAGATTATGCTGATTAAGCACAGGATATTTAAATCCCATGCTTCATTAGCAATTTCAGTACACTACATTTGCATCCCTATCTCGAGATAGGGAGCAAGTGTGGACGTACCCCCAGTTATTTAATGTTTTCTCAAATCTTTGATCTTCTAGGAAGTGGAGACAGTGTTACGCTTTCCCTCTGTTTCTAAATCAACCTTACCTGCATTCTTTCCAATTATTAATGTATTATTTATTATTGCCTTAGGACTAAGGAATTTGTGTATAATGCTGTACATATCCTTAGAACCTCAGAAGCAGTTTGTCTACACAGTTTCTAAAAACATAACAAAATACTTAGTAATATTGTGAAATAATAGGAATTCAGTTCAACACTTCTTGTATCTTAATTACAGTTTTCCATTAACTTTGCTTCAAAGAGACTGGTTGACAAAAACCTTTCTGCTTATTCAGTTCTAGGTAAGATCCGCAGTGCTGTTGGAAGTGCACAGCTCCTAATGTCTCAGAAATTCCAGCAGTTTTATTGGCTTTGTCAACAGAATCTGGTAAGTCAATATTCCTACCCATCTCTCTCTCATCGCTCTAATATCTTGGGACCGGCAGCCACAACTACATTACGTACATATACGTGGCTAGGTTAAGCAAGTTGATACCTATAGAGATCCACAAAAAATGGTTTTAACATCCTTGTTCAGAGCCAGATTTAACCATCTTGTTCCTGCAATTGCATACAGTTGTAGAAGTCTTGACAATTCACTTTGGAGGGTTTCTATAGCCCATATTTGTCCCAGAATTTTGGTTTTTCTTTTTCAGCTGAATCTGGGCACAATAATATAGCATGGGGTCTGTTATGCTGGCCAGAAAGTAAACATGTAATTTCAAAGGTGAGGCAACTTTTATTTCAGATTAAAAGAAATAGCCAAATATAAACTCTCTGTGAGACAGAAGACAGTGTGATTTTATTTTGTAACATTCTGTATCTAAAATGAGAATGGCAGCAATCTTAGTAGAGGGAGAAAAAGTTTTCTCTTGATTTAAAGTCATACTGCAAGAGACCCACCGACTGGAAGGGGTGAAAAGGAGGTCCAGGGGCTCAGGTGATTTAAAAGGGACCCCTGCTGCCATATCCACTAGCAGTGGTGCATCAGGGCTAAAACAGGTGCTCTTCCCATCCCTCATTCTGCACCACTCCCAGAAGCAGGCAGCATACCCCAAGCATCAACTCTACAGCTCCCATTGGCCAGGAACTCCAGTAGGGTCAGTTCCAGTGGGAACTGCAGGAGCAGTGCCTGCAGGTAGCGACACGTGGAGACACCCCTGCCCCCTCCATCTAGGAGATGCTGCCAGAAGTATGTGCCAGTCACTTTTGGGAACTTTCTGAGGTAAGTGCTGAACCCAGCACCCCAAAACCCTGCTCCAGACTAGAATCCACATCCCATACTCCCTCCCAAAGCCTGCACCCGTACCCACACCCAACCCTCTCCCCTAGCCTGGTAAAAGTGAGTGAGGTTAGTGGAGAACAAGTGACAGAGGGAGAGGATGAAGTGAGTGGGGAGTGTGGCCTCAGAAAAGGGGCAGGTCGGTGCATAGCTTCCGGGGAAGGGATGGGACAGAGGACCAAAGCAAGGGTCTTTAGGTTTGTGCGATTAGACAATTGACACATGGTGGGCATGTGGAAGCCCTAGGCGAAGTGGAAGAGCGCAGCTAGCACTGCAGCTGGCAGCTCACTGGCACCAGCCAGCGCAGGTGCAGCATCTACCATACTGGTACAACTTGTGCATGGATGAGGGACCCATTGACTGTTCTGCCCTGGGGCCCTATCAGCAGGCCTGCAATACAAAGAGAATAGAATAACCTATTTTGGTTATATAACTGCATACATACAAGTCTGATCTTGTAAAATCAATGGGAAATTAATGCATGGAATTCTTGCAGCACTGGGCCCCATATTTTGCAGAGCCAGTTATATATAAGAAGTCCTAGAGCTAGAGAAGCTACAGTACATTATCTAGTAAAATGATTGTTTTGGAAGTCCACAAGAGTCTAATTCAGATCTAAATGTTATTTTCATTTACATGCCAGCTGCTATCAGTGATATGAAAACTGTGGGTACAAGATATTTATCTGCACAAGAACATATTTTTTTCTAGTGAAGTAATCTGTGATAAACCCTTTCCTACTTCCTCAGATTCATTTTCCACTGAATATAATTTTTGTGTTTTGTTTCCCTCTCTGTTGCTATTTAAAAAGTGCTAAATTCTGCAGCATATGTAACACAGACAATATGACTTAGGTGACTATGAATAACCTTACTGAATAACCTTTTAAAGTCATGACAATATATTCACACTGTAGACATACATAACCTTACTGACTAACCTCTTAAAGTCATGACAGTATATTCACACTGCAGACATACATTTTGTTGCTTGTCATCTACAAAGTTAAACATCCAGGGTTTGAAAACTGTATCCGAAGTGTTATTGGAAAAGTAATTTTAAAATGTCTTTCTTTCAGTTAGGCTATGTCTACACTATGAAGTTTTTCTGAGATACCAGAGGCATCCTGAAAAAAACTCCACCACATCCGGGGATTGCGTCTGCTCTTCTGAAAAATTTTTTGGAAGAGTAGATGCACTGTTTCAGAAACCCTGTCTTCCTTATATTATGAGGAATAAGGGCACTTCTGAAAGAGGAGGTTTTTCCCACATTTGGCCCCATGTAGACAGGCCAAATGTTGGAAAAATCTCTTCTGAAAAAAGAATTGGAAAAAGGTATGCAAATTGCGGTTCGCTATTTGCGTACCTTTTTCCGAAAAAATCCAATAGTATAGACATAGCCTTAGTGATATCTGATCAAGAACGGTAAGAACTGTTTAGACAAATATCCGTGAGTATTGATCTAGTTTTACTTACTAGAGTGCAGCGTACTGGAATAGATGACCTGCTGAGGTGCCTCCCAGCGCTTCACTTCTATGATTCTATGTGGTCCACATTAGGAAAGCATCAAAATATCTGCTTCAAAAATATTATTTTAATAGATATTACTGTATGACTGAGTCAGGCTAGTGGTAGCAACTATATTTGAAGTATTAAGATATGTTGTATGATTTCTTTTTGTCTGCTGGTGAAGGAAATTTTGCTGCAGATCTAAAGTATCCCCCATTATCTGCCTAAAGTATTCATTTTTGGATTAAGAAATCCTAGCCCTCCATCCCACTTCATTACCTCTAGGTGGGACTCTTTGGCTTCTGTAGTTAAGAGCATTATTTTAATGAGATGAAAAGGCATGGCCTGTCCAGCACACACATTGGCTGTCCAGAACAGTTAGCAATTCCTTACAGGAGAAATCATAGGAAAATATATAAAAGCAAGGACTTTTATGGCATGATGGTGTGCATTTTTTTCTCTCTTCCACTTTTGACTGGTAAAGCTCCAGTGTGGCATAGCTGTCTGATATGTTAATAAACTAACTCTACAAAACAATTAAACCCCTAAAAGCCAGGGTGTATCTTGAACTAGCCAGACATGCTTTGATAGTCCATATGCACCCCCCTGAGGCATATCAACAGTTCTTTCAAGTGCCTTGATTTAGTCATCTTTGAAACAGGAGTGACCTAACTCAAAGATCATTAATGAACTATTAACACATCTCATTAGGGAGCACTATGGGCAGTTAGGCCACAGTAGGCCAGAACAGGATAGATTTACACCCCATCTTGCCATGGTCTAATTGCGTAGACAAGCTCTAATGTTTGTTCTCCAGCACATCCTAAGGTAAAACTACCCTTGGAGTAAATGTGAAGTAAGTATTGCCAAACTGAGCCTTTAGTATGTTTGATTTTGTTGTACACTTTTGTTTACATTTAACGTTTTGTTTGTTTTTAATTTTTTTGTTTGTATTTTGTAAAGTATTGACTAAATGTGTATCCCCAGTAGTACCTTGCCTGTTCAAAAACTTCAGAAGGGTAGCTGAGTTAGTCTGTAACAGGAAAACCTTAAAGAACAACAAATAGTCTAGTAGCACTTTATAGACTAACAAAACATGTAGATAGTATCATGAGCTTTTGTGGGCACAACCCACTTCTTTCAAAAAGTGGCCCACGAAAGCTCATGATACCATCTACATGTTTTGTTAGTCTTTAAAGTGCTACTAGACTATTTGTTGTTCTTTAAGTTTTTCACCGGTAGTAGTTATTCTGCATGGTCCTGATCCCACCTCACGGAAGTCAATAGAAGCTCAAGTCAGGTACAGGTCATTTAGCATTAAATCCACCACTTACAAACACAGCAGGTTTCCAACTGCACAGAGTATTTAGGACAGGAAGTGGGGAATTTGATCTTATATCAACTGAAACTACAGCGAGGATTTAGGTAGACAGAATGTAATTACCCAAAAAAGAATGTATCCAATATAATGAACCTCTCTTACAAAGGACTCTCAGCTGATATAAATTCACATCGCAAAGGATTTATGCTGAATTCTATCAATTGAGAATCTAGCCCCTCTTACACCTACAAAGAGAATTGTTGGTTCATTACCAAATCACTCCCTCCACTGATTGTAACTGCTGAGTTTTCTTTGATGATTCCTCATCCATGTTCTATTCAGCACTGATCCTACTCAGCTTGTGAAATCGAATAAGATCACAGCTCAAGGGTGACATGGTTTCAGACCAACACATAAGCTCTGTCACGACCTTTTTTGTTAGCTCTTTGCTCCCTGCAGGATAAAGGTTGCAGCCATAAATAATCTAGTTTTAGAAACAAAGCCTGAATTCAAAATTAGATACAAACAAACGAGAAGTTTCTGAATACATTCAAACTTGAAAAGGCTTTTCCAAGATTAGATGTTTCTAGCTTAGATGTTTCTAACCTTTTGGCTGAGGTTCCCAGTCGAAAATAATGTACATTATTGATGTATACATATTAGCAGCAGGAGGCAGCCCCCTTGTGGTCCAGAGAATGCAAAACAAGCTCCAGTCAACAGTAGCTACCTTGGCAAATATACTATACTGAAATAGGTATGAGCAGAGCTGTGTGTACGGGATGTGGAGGCAGGAAAAGGGAATAAGGGAATTTGTGTGCAGCCATCTTGGTCTTGTTAACAAGAGAGCAAGAGTCAGGCTAAGTCTGTGGCCTGACAACACGAGATCTGTAATTAGACGCTGCCTTCGCCTCTCGCCTCCATTTGGAGATAAGGATAGAATGCTGACTCTGGTAGGGACCTTGAGATAAGGAGCATCTGGGTGGAACTAAATAACTGTTAACCATTGGTGTTTGTAATGGGAAGGAGACTAATTGTTATTGTTATTATATTTAATAGACAGTATATAAACTGCTTCATAATTGCTTGTATTCGAAGATCTGCCTCAGAGGGGGGGGCTTCCCCCCCTGTCCGAAGCAGTTTTTCTCTTGCTGCAGCTCGTAATAAAACTGCCTCTGGCTACTTGTTGCTTACAAACTCAGAGTGAGGACAATGTTTTCTTCCACAGGGGGTTACAGAAGACCCATTGCCTTCCATTCAGAAGGGTGTGACAGCTCACAATAAGTAGCCTCCAGCAGGCATCTTTTTGGGTCTATAAAGTAAACTGGGGAAATGACAAGAAGGATTGAGAAAGTTGTGGTGTAGTAGTGGAGGAAGAACAGATTGAAATATAAGCTACATTGAATGCTGTGTACATTGCCACAAGACACACCTGGTGGACTGCATATAGGGGATCCATAACTTAAAATGAATTGAGTTGCACCAATTTACACTAGTTCAGGATCTGGCCTCTGTTACTTTCTTGGGCACATATTGCAAGTTATGATTGACTCAACATACATTTTAAATTAAATGTTTTAAATCCATCTAAACGGCATCTCCCCTCTTCCCCTGCACCCCAGGGACTTATACACTGAATTGTCTGAGCTCCTATAAAAAAAAAGGAGGGCTGTCAAGTATACTAGAGACCTACTCACTAGTAAGGGGGATGTCCTTTCCCCTCCTTATCAGGCGTGGAGAGTTCCACACACAATTCCAATGTGGTTCTTCTGCCTGTAATTGTACAGTAACTTGGGAGGGGCTATGTGCCAAGTACAGTACAACTCGATAGAGGCTGCTTGGCAGGATTCGGGAGCAAGAATAGAGGCAATGGATCTGCTTCCATGCAGATTCACCAGCCATTGTCTCCCTACAGACTGAAGTACAGTGTGTGTGGAGGCTGCAAAAGTCTACTCTAGGGGTTGTAGATTATCTCTACAACTGCTCTGTGGCCTACAGAGAAAGATTCCTTATTGCTGTTTTCAAAAAGACATTTACCACTCAGGCCATCTTTCTTTAAAGTCATCTAGTTAGTCCCTGCCTGGGTTAGCATCCTCAAGCAAATGCTTGCACAGCAAAGGGTGATGCCCCTGTAATAGGTTTTATTTTCTAATTTCCCTTTAGTAACCAAATGGATTAAAAATCAGATGAAGGGACTTCTGGCCAACTCATTACCACTGTTATTGGCTTTCCATTAAGTTGTCTTGCCTGTCATTTGCACAGAAACAAACTAATCAAAATATCTTGAAAGAAGAGCTTACCCAGCCCCTTTTGCAATCAATAGATCTTTTAAAATGTCTCGGATAAGATATTTGTGCCATACATAAACCCTTAAGACCTGAGACAGTGTAATAGCAACAATAAGCATGAGTTAGCAATTAATTCATAACATGATACATTTTGTCTTCTACTCAGATATCACTAATGCAATTTGAAAGCACAGAGATTTTAGACTGAAGAATCTACACAAGCTGCATGAATCTGTATATAATGTATAACTTACTGATTTTGGGATTGTGTGAGAGGCATGTATTTTCAGTCACTCGTGTATTTTCAGGACCCCAGTGCCATGCCAAGACCAACTTCCCAGGACCTAGCAGGATTCTGGGATTTATTACAGCTTTCAATTGAAGATGTCAGCATGAAGTTTGATGAACTTCACCAACTGAAACTCAATGAATGGAAACTAATAGAATCACCTGAAAGGAAGGTAAGCAGACCAGAGACAATAAGATTGTAGTGATATGGTCTCCTGGTATTACAGTCAGTTCCAGAAAATGATTGGTTTCAAACCTCAAAATAGAAAGTGACTATTTATCATTACCTCATTAACAGATAACACTGTCTAGATTAGAATCTGGGCCTAGAAGTTTATTTTTAAATTATTGTCCCATTTTTGGTCTAAATTATAAGATATAAAAATATAGGTATAATTATCCCAACCAGCCCTCTGCCTAGCCACTATCATTTGGCCCGTTGAATTCTGATAACAAATGACTCCGAGCAGATTGGAATTGAAAGTGCTCTGATTGATTCAGATTGAAAATGAAACTGAAATAGAGACCCTTATGCTGTCACGTTGTGAGCACTTAATCTCTGGGGGCTGCATCCTCTACTTCCTTCCTAATGAGGAAATCTGACTCGCCAAGATCTCTGGCTCTCTGCATACGTATGCCATCCCCTCTGAGAACCTTGAGGACTGCATATCTGCCTGTGAAAGTTGCGTGGATAGAGATTGCATCATTGTGAATGTCATGCTGTCTGTGCTTGTGCTCGTGGACTCCACGTCCCAGTGGCCTCTCCTTGTTCACAGCAGTTGCAGTACAGATTGCAAATGTGCCACAGTGCCAGTGGCAATGTTGTTGTGCACCTGCTTTCTTCTTTACATAGGACCCCTTCCTGCCTTCCTCCATGCTAATTACAATATTGTACAAATGGGAAGGGTGTGAGGGGTTTTTTAGGTTTGAGTTATCTGGCCTCATTGGGAAATTAGTTGGTTTTGGAATGTGGCAGGAGGTAACTTGTCAGATACCTCTTTCACTTCATCGGGCATTTACTACAACTGCCTGCTCTTCCTCTTGGGTTTCTTGGCTGGGTGGCTAGGGTGTTTTGCTTTTGCTGGTGAAAATAAAAGATTATTATAATGGCAGAATTGGTGATTGTCTAAGGAGGAAACTGAATCCTAGTAAAGAGAGAGAAGATGGGGATGCAAACACAATGCTCCAGACTGAAAATAGCAAATGAAAAAAAAGTATCCCAGCAGAGCATGCTTTCAGGAAGAACAGCACCATGCCCACTCATGGGATTCTGCAATAAGTCCTCTGGTCTGGAAATTTGAAGCAAGACTGCCAAACATTGTAAAATCTTACCAGTGACAAGTGCATATTAGATTCCGCATATCAGTTGCAATAAGAATACCTATACAATTCATGCTTCTCAGAAAATCTGTATTTTGTAGGTCTTACAGTGGATTAAATTAACAGCCTACTAGAGTGTCCTGTGTAAATAGTGACCTACTGTATTGATCTTTATTGCAGCATTAACATGTACTAATGTCAGAAGGTGGCATTGTGATAAGTGTCACTGATGCATATTATCACTTGTTTTGAAGATACATATCACCTAAAGCTTTCAATTCACAATCCCACTCAGCAAATGAGTTGAAATGGGAGAACCACATTTTGAAGCACAATTTGCATTTAAATTTTTCAGATCAATAGCAGGCTTAATAGTTGCAGAAATGAGCTACAATAAGCATTATTTAAACATGTATTAACATTCACTTTATATTCTAATAATTTCTCAATATGATTTTCTTAAGGTAGCCTAGGCTGATGTATGGAACAATTTGCCCTACATTGCCATCTGTCTGGTTTGTTTTTGTATGTTAACTTTTTGCAATTCAGAGAGGAGACTAAACTAATAGAGATGTATGCACAGCTGCTATCTCATACCCAGCTGAGGCTAACCTCAGTATGATTAATGTAATTAAAAATCCTGTCTTGCTAATCTTAGACAGGCTTCTCACTTGACCAGAACACCCAGATACACTGAGCTCTTATCTGAGATGCAGTCTATGTTTCCGAACTTAATGGATATAATGATGTGCCAGGTAAAATAAAATTAACATGAAGATGAAAGTGAGGTTTGCAACATGCAAAGAGAGTGTATTGGGAGTTTAAGTAAATGCACCCTTTATACTGTGCTATTGCAATGCAATCCATCAGAATTTGCACTGCAATAGGTGTATTTCCTCCTTTCCCTAGAACTGCTGGTAATTAATATCATACATAAATTTGGTCATCTAAGAGTAAAAAATTGAACATGCTTACTAGTTGTGTGATTAGAATTTTTTCAATTTACAGTTCTCTACTGTGCATGTTTTATGCCTTTCACATTTAACCCACCTTTCCGTTTTCAATAACCATTGTAGGAAGAAAGGAAGGTTCCTCCTCCAGTACCAAAGAAGCCCCCAAAAGGAAAATTCCCTATAACGAGAGAAAAGTCTCTCGACCTACCTGACAGACAACGTCAAGAAGCCAGAAGACGGCTAATGGCTGCTAAGAGAGCAGCTTCCTTTCGACAGAATTCAGCCACAGAGCGGGCAGACAGCATTGAGATATATATCCCAGAAGCCCAAACCCGGCTCTAAAGACAGAATGCGGCAGAGAGTCCTTTTTTAAAACAAATGCTTGTACAGTTTGTCACTGACTTGGTAATTTTTGTCTCATTCTCTCCAATGAATATGCCCTGGTTGTTGTGTTCTTTGTGCCATAAGCACAGTGGAATGCTTTTGATTTCCTCAGAGTTTGCTGAGCTCATTGCAAGAACTACTTCTTTTTGTATTTATTGTCTGACTTACAATCAGCTACAATGGATAGGGCTTGTTGAGACCTGACTTATCCAATATGTTCTCAGAGGACAACAAGAAACACCTCTTGAGATGAAACCCAGCTTACTTTTTTGTTATTTATATTTTTATAAATTGTGTGATAATTAGGGATAAGAATAACAAACTATAAATGGGTGCATCTCACCATTCACTAGAGGCATTAGCTAATCCAAGTAGAAGGTGCTACAAATGTGAAGTGCAGGAAAGAAAGAACCCATTTATCTCTCTGACCTCCAGTTTCTTTTCCTTGAATCCAGCTAAAATATTTGCCCACGTGCTCTACTATTCTACTCATCTTTGTTACTGCAAAATAACATTAGGCCTCTCATGTCAAGTGAAGTTTCTGGAGATGAACAGGAATATCCAGCCACTAAAACTCCAAAGTTCGTCAGGAACCAAGAAGCATACAAGCCTTGTCCTATTGGGAATACCCAGTGAGAAATGTTTGTGATAGCAGTATAATGACATTCAGAAATCAAAGCAAAATTATAATGCAAGAGAACTTGAGTGATGGGGAAAGGAAAGTGGAAGCCTTAACAAGTTAGATCTTCTGTAGCAAGATGTGTATAGAGAATAGTTATATTTACTCCTTTGGAACACTCATTGCATTTTAACAGTTCTTTTATGTGTTAACTTTTTATTTTAACAAACTTCTCTCTTTAATTTCAAAAGCTATGCTACGTGTGATATTTTAAACTCTCAAAAGTCTATATCAATTGAGTTTCCAGGGTATCCTTGAAAAAAAAAATCTTTGCTTGTTTAAAATGCCAGTTGTGATGTTGTAACCAGTTTAAGAAATATGAATGTGAGTGGTAAGTATATCTAAGTTTAAATGGTTATTTTAAGGTAAAGGTGAACTGTGGTTTACATTTTTTCCAGAAATCTTTTTCCTATGCAGTATCAGTTAAGGCAAGATTACCCTCTTGCTTATGTCATACATAAAGAAATGATTTGAGAGGAATGTGACTTCCAGATGTGGAATATAAGGAAAGTATTTTTTCAAGCCTCTGATTTTTATAAGAGAATAAAAAGGAAGCACTACAATCAAGAGGTTTTAAACATTAATTTTAAATACATTTAAATAGTATTATTTCACTTCATCCACTTTTCCAGAGATAACTGAGCATTCCAACTCTTAGAAGTCTTCAAATAAAAATGTAATAAAAGATATAATCCACAGATACCAGGATTCTGATTACTACACTAGATCAAAAAGAGTTTTACATCTATGGCAAAGACAGTCCCAACTGACATATTTTTGTTTATTGCTTTAACAAATATTATGTATTTAGCCATAGGCAGAATAGCTACGTAATTATACTCTAGCACTTTCTTTTGTTCACCTTGATGAGCACTTTAAATATGTACTCGGCACACCCTGAAGCCTGCCACATGACTGAGAACATTGAATAACATATGTTACACAGATCTTACATTGCTTCAAATCTGGGTTTGGTTTCTTGGGTTTTTTTCCTTCAGTGCATTTTGTTAAGCATGAGTTCTAGTTTTGGAGCAAAGCTGATATAAGCATGTTTAGCTTCAAGATATGAATCGTTAGCATCGAATAGTTGAGAAGTTTCTGTAAGGAGAAAATTCTGTAAATTGAGCCTGATATCTGGTATATATTTACCAAATAGCCTTAAACTATATTTGGAAGCAAAAACCAAGATGAATGTATGTCCTTCCAAAAACAACAACAAAACCCTCCCTGAAATATTCTTATATAAATGAAAACTTATTATGCCCTCACCCCCCAGTGTGTTCACAGCATTTTCTGTATCCGGAAAGAGCTGAATCCTGGGTAGTGTACAATATTGATGCTGCTTCCTATATTTGTTGTACTATTTTAAATACAAATGTATTTGCAGGTTTTGGCATCTTTAGTATTTAAAAGTGATATTTAATGTTAAGTGGAGCTGCGAATTAGAACTATCCACATGAAAATAAAGCCAGTGTATTTCCTAGATATAGGAAATTTAAAATAGACCCATATATATATATATATATAGCGAGAGAGAGAGAGAGAGAGAGAGAGAGAGAGATTTAGGGCACCTGATATATTTTATCTAATTTCCTTGAATACTTTCAGGCTAAATCAGACTTGTTTTACTCATGTGAGTAATCCCACATGAAGTAAGGGTGTCGCATGGGTACAGCAAACAGCGTTTGACCTGTCAGTATACAGAACTTGTAAAGTCAAATTGTAAAAATTAGACTAGCTGTTAAATTTTGATCCCAGCTTATGCTATAGTGTGTTTTGAAACAGTTCGTAATGTTTTAATTACCCATCAGCTTTTTGGGATTGTTTTATGTTAATATTTTATCACTAAATTGGACTCCAAATGTCTGGCTAAAACAGACCTGTGTGAGCAAATTTGACCCTAAATTGTACACGGTTCATGCAATTATGGGAATGCGCTCAATAGGAGTCTCTGGATATGTCTGATTCCCTATGTGTTCCACCTCTGTTCCAAAGAAGAATAATTATAAGTAAAATAGATGCCTACTGCTAAATCTGATAAAATGTTATCTGTACATGTTACATTTTTAAGTGCAATATATTCGACTTGTTGTACAGGTAACACTCTATCAATAAAGGCAGATCAAAGCCATGTTTATCTGTGTATTGTACATCTAATTAGTCGGAAAAATAAAATGTTTATAATACTTGTGTTGAAAGTCAGTCACACACAATCTGCTTTAATCATTGCTATAAGATACACCGTATTTAGTAACTATCACCTACAGAGAGGTCATGTCAAATCTGGAAATATTCATTTCATACATCGGAGTGGATTACAGGATCAGTATAAAAGAAATGTCAGTAAATTATAATTTTCTATTAACGTAATAACTGATTATGACTATCTTAGCAACTTCATGCTCTATAGATACTTAGAACAATTTTAGGAGTCAGAGTTCTCATAAGAGAATAACTCATTAGCTAGGCCTTTTACATACCAGGTCTTATCTGTAAAGGGTGAAAAATACATTTGTCATTTCATTGTCCATAAAACACAAGTATAATAAACAGAATTCTCAATAGTATTATATTTGATGTAAGAACAAGACATGATTGGTTTAAGGTTCAATACTTTATACATATTTTTTGCTTTGTATTTATTTTAGATTTAAAGTTCATTTTAAATCAGTGAAGTACATTACAACACATTTTATTATTTCTTGATTGATTGAGCAGAATGGCCTCTGGCAGTGTGTAAAGACTGAAAATGTTGTACAGTTTAATACCAAAAATTACATTTTAGTTCATGCTTAAACTTTGTCACTGTATATTAAAATTGAGATCAATTAGAAAGGAATTCAAGCATAAATAGGAAGGTGTGTGGATTTCATACGTATAGTGCACTTCAAATAACACAAATTATTTTTTAAAAGTAATAACTTCTACTTTTCAGTAAATCAGTGTTCTAATTTTTATTACTTTAACACAACTGATGAACTGTTGAAAGGGACAGAATTTACTAAGAGACAATGGACTGCAGTTTAGCTATCAGCCACAAATGTACCAGAAATTTCTCAGAATCTTCCTTTGACTTGTGCTTCTGTACAGATTCTCTCTTCCTGGGTTTCTTTGTTTATTCTGCTCTCACAACGTACAATACCCTGTTCTATTGCTTGTCAGCAACTCTTTAAACTTTCTGTTATGTTCTTGTGCTGTTTTATTTCAGTAACATCTTTATGCTAATTGGTAGCTATACTGGCAAACTAAGACTCAGATTCATCTCAGCCATTTGCATGCATCACATTCTTAGACAAATTTTATTCCTGTTTACACCTGGACTTCAGCATTAACGTCAGCAGAGGAGGCCACAGCTTGGCCTGTCTGACTGCACTGTGTGTTGTGCATGTTAATCTGAAGGCTGAATTTATCCCATAGGAAATTAGGTACAGCTGCCTCCTTTAATATTGTACAAAGCAGAGAGTCCTCTGTGAGAGGGGCTTTAGAAATGTTGATTGATAGTTGAGATAAAATGCTCAGCAATAGTCAGTTACTCCTCCACATGGCTTTCAGAGCAAATCACTAGACAATGCTGTCACAAGTAAATCGAAATTCAGGTGACAAATATTAGTAAATCCTTTAATATTCAGAGTGGTGCTTCCCTAGTGCATGGGAGGTCAACACTTACATTATATAGTGCCTTTCATCCAGAAGGATCTCAATGCACTTTACTAGCTGATTTGCAAAGGGTGGGCAAAATTCTAGCTCATGCAGGGCAAGTGGTTCAACTGGATCATGTCCTCATTGCCTCCACACCAAAAGGGAGTTTTATAATCCCCTCAAAATGTTATGGCGACCTCTCTGCATACTCCAGGATCTGGACTGTTGGAGGAAGATGTCAAAATTGGATGGTTCAAAAGAAAGGAATTGCTGTGACTGGGAGTGGGGGCAAAGCACGTGGCCATCCCTCCAAAAATTAGGAAGACAAGAGAGAGCATCCTCACATTTTGGCACCTTTTCAGAAATAGCCTTTGCATCTGCTCCATACTTGATGGTCTTTAGAGCCACTGTGGCCAAGGGAGAGCCCATTAGGAGCTATTTAACCAGAGAACTGGATAATGATTAAAAAGGGAGCCACAACCAGTGAAAAAAGCATAGAGTCTCTATGTGTATAGTACAGGTTTGCCAGGTTTTTCTATATTATCTCTCAGCCTGTTTCAATCGGGGCAACTCACCCCTCACCCTCAGTGAGATGGTATGGAGGAATCTCCACTAGGGATCGTCAGCAGATATCTCACCACCAGAATTCCTTCCCATGAGTTTTTTCAGCAGAGGATTGAGACCATATGCTGCAAAAACAGGCTTAATGTATGACTCTATTGTAGCTGAAACCTGCTATAGTCTCTACCCCCTTGTGGACTATAGTCAGACCACAAGTAAAAATAAAAAAGAATATAATATTCTGAAATTGTAGTTAGAGACCAATGGGGGGCAATTGCATGTGTGTGGGGGAGGGCATGTTCTTTGATTACACCTCATTGACCCTAATGGTTCATTTAATGAAAAAGCGATAAAGCTACCTCTATGCAATATTTTTGGGGGTTGAGGCAGATCATCCATCATAAGTGATTTTTGGCATGCTCACCAGCACACCCAAATTCCCGTTCTGATTTTAGTTCTCTGGAACCATAGGAAATGCTCAGTCCATCACCATAATGCACCCATCTCTGAAGTGAAATACAGCAACTGAAACCATTATAAAACAATATGTTCAGAATGATAAATGTAAAAATGAAAATAAAAAAGGAAACTTACCCAAAATTGAAGTTGAATGAGATACTAAGAATAATGTGTCTCCTGGTATTTACAAAATAAATAAATAAATAAATGTAAGTCTTAATACCTTTATGTGGCCAGGACAGTTTTTTTCCATTACATGTGAAATTCACATTTCAGAACCCTCAACAGTAAACATGTGACACCTTTCATAAAAGATAATGACTGGGAATGACATTATGGTCCTAATTCTGCCTTTTGTGATATTGAAGCAGTGCCCATTATCATTCATTGAGCTCTGAATTAAGCTTCATGGGTCAGATTCTCAGATGTTGTAAGTCCTTGTAGCTCCACTAATGTTAACACATAAATATGCCACTTGAGAATCAAGCTGTATGTCTTTAATTAAGGATCATTGGTAGTCACTATACTACATTGGTATTTTGTTGCAGAACAGTCTTTTACTCTTTCAGTACTGATTTGACAAACAAAACTTCATTTAAATGAGGAATGAATGAGAGCTTATTTGAAGATATTATCATTAGTTTAAAGTCCACAAATCAATATAGCCAGTCTTAAGCACTTCCCCTTTCTAGTTTGTCATTCTGCACATAGCAGTTTCCATCTTTGGGGCTGAACTGTAAGCAGAGCTCTATGATAAATATTTTTAGCTTTATGAATAGATTCTGATTTCAGTTACACTAATGTAAACCTGAGAAACTTCACTGTAGTCAATGGAGCTATTCCAGATGTGTATCAGTGCAACTGATATTCCAGCAGTGCATCAGTGTGTATCTCTGATGCATGTCTAATTGAGGTGGAAAACAATTACTCTGGAAGTTAGCTCATGCAGCATTTTTTAAAGTAGATCTTCTTCCCTTTCAAGTAGGTCACAGTCATCACAGAGTGCTTGTTATTGGGCTCAAGTTTATGATAATTGTCATTATATACTAAATAAAGCAAGTAATTTTCTAATAGTTGATGGAATCCACATCTTCATATCCATGCTTTGATTTTTCCCCTTGGAGGTTTAAATAGCATGGCCATCTCATTTTAAAAGGGCTCAGCATGTATGTACTCCTTACTCCATTTTATATAGAGATTTTTCTGAATTAACAAATTTTCCCTTTGAAGTCATGTGACTTCTATTGCTCTAGAACTGTTCTTTCTTGAAGAAAAGCCACCATGACTGTGCAGTTTCATCTGTACAGCGATAACTCATATATCCATTTACCATGTAACATGCCAAAATATTCAAGTGTGGCCTAAGGACTAAATTAAATGCCTCCTATAGAATTTCAAGGAATGTTAGAACCAGGAAACTAGCTGTTTAGTTAACATTAAAATATATATATAAATATATATATAAATATATATACATAAGAAATCATATCAACAATGAGGATGAACTGAGTGCCAAATATTCATCATCTGTACAAAGCGATACTTCACTAGAATTAAACTATTTTATGTAATTCTCTTTTCATGCTTTTATGGTTCTTTTGATAAATTCTATTTAGTAGCATGCAGGATACCTAAATTGAATGTACAGTTTGCTGTTTCATTGCTACAATAATTTCTTGCTTCTAAGTAATATCTTCTGTCCCAGAATGTTACTCGTTATTTTGAAGACATATTTGAGAATTGTTCTATTCTTGAGTTATTCCTCTTCATGATTCTCTACTCATCTCCAGCTGATTGTAAGAAAATGTGCTTCACTCTTTTGCCCCCGGCTCTTTTATGAAGTTGCCTCTTTCAATTGGTTTATGTATTGTTTATGTTCATCTCCTGTAAATAATTCTGCAATTAAATTTTTTGAGAAAAGTGGAATTTACTCTTTATTGAATTAAACAATTTGAAATAATTTAAAATATACAGGAAATGGATATCTTCCTCAATCAGGAAGCTTATTACTTATTACTCATATGATAACTGTGAAAGAACTTGACAAATGTAAAGTTTCACACACCTTCAATTTCAACCTAAATGTAATAGTTTTGATAAATAGTTGTATGAAAGCCAAAGCAACACACACTTAATAGCTGAAGTAATGTGACAAATCAATTTGGAATCCATTGAGCAATGCTAACAGGTACATTGTTTGATTAATATTCATACAAGAGATATAGAATCTAATTTGCATACATTTTCAATCAATTTATTGTGCTTCATTAATAGAGAAAATAATGGCCTCATACAGATTTAAAATAATTGAAATAGAATTGTTTGTAATTAGTTTGTATTAGAATGTAAAAGTAAATGGAAGAGCATATTGGTTCTACAAGATATATCCCAGTGTTTCTCTGTGTATGTATTTGTCTTATTAGCAACTAATTAGCTATTAAGAACTTTAGTGTTGTCCTGTTTTTTCAGCTCCTTCCAGGGCAGACAAAGTTGCATTCAGGGCATATCTCAGGGGAAAAAAGCCTAATTAGTGCTTTGTGCTGCCCAAACTTCTTGATATGCCAATAAGAGTACATAAATCTGGGAGAAGAGAAGAATGTTCAAGAGCCTCTGTGAAAAACATGAAATTATCATGGCAAGCAGATGTGTTAAGTGGAAAATAGCTGGTTAAGTATTTGTATAAAAATCAGTAATCTGCCTGCCCACAATTTTGATAAGAGAATTATCCTGAGAATATTTTTCTCAGCGCAAACGGTCTGTGATGTTCTTGTAAGAATTTCTGGGAGAGGGCCGAAGGCAACCTTGCTTTCCTTTCTGTCTCTGTCTCCAGTCCAAGTTCCATTTTGGCATAAAGAGGCATTAGTAGTAGTTCTGCTCTGATAGTCTGCAACCAGGAATTGCTGTCATCCCAATACCCATTTCCCTAATAACTTTTGGGGGTTTTCTAAAATCAAATATCCCCTCTGGAAATGTATTTGGCCTGAGAATTGTAAATGTTGCTTTTCTTTAAAAGTATGGGTTGAGATATGTGTAATTATTTGCCAACATAAATATGTCCATTACTAAAAAGCCTAGGTGCATCCACAGTTATCTAAGTATAAAGCCATTTCAGCATAGCTTAGGGGAAATAAACAAAGCTATCCTGCTATAAGCACCTTCATACTACTATTAGGGTACATCTACACTGCAACACTGTTTCGGGATACTGAAGTATTCCAAAATAACTATTCTGCATCTTCACAGCAAGCCTGATACTTCAAGCTCACTATTCCGACATCCCTGTCAACCCCATTCTATGAGGAGTAAGGGACGTTTCAGAATAGCACTTTATTTTGAAATTTAGAGCTGTGTAGACAGCACCAAATGACGAAATAAGCTATTTCAAAATAGCATCAAAATAAGATATGCAATTTGCGTAGCTCAAATTGCATATCTTATTTCAACTTACAGTGCAGTTTAGATGCACCCTAAATGTGTCCACAGTTTGAAGTGGAGAGGAAGCCCCTTCTTTATGCCAACATAGTAAATTTTTAAGTACAGTATAGACAAGGGTAAGCCATTACTGTGTGCTGTGTTTTTGTCAAATCTAAAGAAAAGCAAAATGAGGTAAGGTTAGTGCTTCAATGAGAGGCCTCTAAGGTAAATGTCGGTGCCAAAGGAAGTGCTAGTTGCTTATTTGGTGACGTTCTTCCCCCTGTGTCAGTACTGGGCTAATATCCCAGCAAAGTATTTGCATGCAATGCTACTCTTCAAATGATGCCTTTAGATAAGAGACATAAAAGAAAAGTCTTGACTACTGGTGATCATTAAAGATCCCTTAATTTTTCCCAGGTGACCAGAGATGATCAAATTCCAGTTTGGATAATAATACTGTGCCTATCTAAAGTCTCTTTTAACTTTCTAGTGCATGTAATATTCTTCACAAACTGAGAATACTGGCTTCTTGCATATTTCAAATACTTGAAACTGAGGGGGTACGTCTACACTGCAAGGGTATTGCAGGATACCAGAAGTATTCTGAAATAGCTACCCCATGTCTACACAAGCCACCGCTTATTTTGAAATATTTTTCAAAATAACAGGTGCACTATTTTGGCATCCTGGTAACCCTTGTTCCATAAGGGTTAAGGGATATCTCGAAATAGCATGATATTTCAAAATTTAGTGCAGTGTAAATGCACCAGATTTCAAAATAAGCTATTTTGAAATACATTTGAAATAAGATATGCAATTTGCATCGCACAAATTGTGTATCTTATTTCGAGTGTAGAGTACTGTGTAGATGCACTCTGAATTGTTTGTAGTTATGTAAACTGCTATTTAGCGTTGCTGTATGCTAGTGTTATTTATTATTAGCTACAAATATATAAAGGCAGTCTTTTTCAAAGTTTCCAGGGATCCAATTTTCAGAGGGACTGAGCAACCATAACTTTAACCAGAACTGGAACATTCAGCACTTCTGAAAATCAGGTCCTAAAATGCTATAAGAACTTAGTGCCAACAGCTGAATCCCATTACACTTGATGCAGAACCTGGCACTGAATTGCTTCAGAAATGTTCATATTTAGGTCATAGAATCATAGAATACTAGGACTGGAAGGGACCTTGAGAGGTAATCAAGATGCCTAGACCATCCCTGATAGACATTTATCTATCAGTGATGTGTGATCTGCTGGCCAACCAATTCCAATACAGCTCTACAGGAAATCTGGGAACTCAATAGAAGAAACTCCTGGATGACTATAAAAAAGTAAATTAAACTGTTTATACAATAAACATTAATAATATTGTAAAGCTCAAGGATGTAAGTATTACAAATAACATCAGAAATAATGCTAGAGAGTGACATAATATACTACTGGTAGTTCCGAAAGCAAATTCCTAGTGGGAAATGAAGAAGGCACTTAAATATTATGTGATATTGGAATATGTCCAAATACATTTGATCAAATGCATCTCAATTAGGAAGGAATTGACAACATCTTAGAAAAAAATTACCTGACTTTTAAAGTGTATCTATACATAAAATTAGACTGAGAAATATGAAGGACCATACCACCTGCTGGAGTAAGTCAGTGTAGCTGATGATTTATATCAGCAGAATTGATTTGAAGTGTTTACATGCATGGCTGCTCAGAGAGTTATACTGAGAAGAAATACAGAAAGGGGAAGCTGAAAAGGAAGCTACAAAGAAAGCTGCTGGGAAAGGAAATGTGTACAAATTAATACAGCCAGAAATTATACGTCTTAGTATCCAGTCAGGAATGTAAGCTGAATTCTGTGAATGTGAGAATTAATTTTAGCATCTCTTATTTAAAGTGCATATCTGAAGAAGCAATTTTGATTAGTTCCCATTATGTACCTATCTGTGAGGCTATTACCTACAGACACATGTCCAGAAGTTCCCAGAAATATGGAATATAGAGCAGTAGTTCTCAGCCAGGGGTATGTGTATCCATAGGGGCGGATGAGAGTTTTGCAGGGCCCAGGGCAGCACAATTTTGCAGGGCCCCCTTTGGAGAAAAAATAGAAAAAAGGCATCAAATGTGCAAATTGAAGGCTATTTTCATATTAAATGTGAATTGGGTAAATTTGATAGAAACTTAATTTAGTTGGATAATTTTTATTTTAATTGTATTGTAAGTCATTCTTTAAAAAATCTGCATTAATAATTACAAAATTTCATTTGTATTTAAGTCTCCTCCCCCTACTGCCTCACTCTCTCTTTTTCTCCTCCCCCTCCTGCCTCTCACTCTCCCTTTCTCTTCTCCTCTCCCTTCTGCCTCACTCTTTCTATTTCTCTCCTCCTCCTCCTCATGCTTCACTCTCTCTCTTTCTCTTCTCCTTCTGCCTCACTCTCTATTTCTCTTCTCCTTAGTCCTCCCCCTCCTGCCTCTCACTCGCGGAGCCCAAATGGCCATCCGGGACCCCATACAGCGTCCCGGCTGAGTGGTGTAGAACTCAGCCGAGCACCACAGTGGGAGACGAAGAGGGGTGGGGTGGTGATGTACATGGCCAGGGGGCGGGACCTGGAGCCTCTGTCATGCCCTTTGCCTCCCGCCCCCTGGCTATGTACATCACTGCCCCACCCCCCTTCACCTCCCGCCGTGGTGCTCGGCTGAGTTCTGTGCCACTCAGCCAGAACGCCGCGCAGAAGCAAGCGGCTCAAGCGGCTGTTTGGGCCCCGCATGGCAGCTCGGTGCAGGGCCTATTGCAGTGTGGGGTCCAGGGCAGCTGCCCCACTTGCCCTGCCGTATATCCACCACTGTGTATCCATGGGAGTAAGCAGAGATCCTCTAGGGAGTACATCAACTTATTTAGGTACTTGGCTAGTTTTACAAAAAGCTACATGAAAAATCAGTCGAGCAGTCAAACGAAAATTTCACACAGACAACTGCTCTATATAATATACCCAGAAATGTAGGTACAATATTTATATTTCAGTTGGAAGATGAAACTTGCGGGTGCATGTGACAGATAAAACTCCTGAAATGGGTAAAGTAGTCTGAAAGATTGAGACCCACTGTTTTAGCAGACTAATTCATAGCATCCTGCAAACTGTGAATTAGTATAGCTACTTCTCTGTTAGAGGGATAAAATGTCACATTATTTGGTCAAAATCAAGACTTCTTATTTGTCACCTGTTCTCATGACCTTCCTCAAGCAGACATAGCAGCAAGAAATATCAATCAACTGATTCTATGTGCAGGTAGAATAAACAATATATAGCTATTCTTTGCAATAAGCCAAAGGAAGTTGTAGAACTACATTTGATTTGAATTTCTGATCAGAACCAAAGAGCAAAGAAGCCAACTCTTTGACAGCATGGGTGTGTATCCTTACAGCCAAACAAGGGACCTCACATGTCATGAATAAATGAAGTGAATATGACAC